TGCCTTCCTCTGCTTCCCTTTTCACCACACAGCATGAGTGGGGGAACGTAGGGGACTTGGAAGTTTTAAAGGGTTATCAGTCAGTTTTGTGCTTCGGAGTGTCCTAGAGAAGGGGGTTAGAAGTAGGGTGACCAGACAGCAAGTGTGAAAAATCGGGACAGGGTGTGGGGGGTAATAGGAGCCTATATAAGAAAAAGACCCAAAAATCGGTACTGTCCCTATAAAATCAGGACATCTGGTCACCCTAGTTAGAAGGAGGGGTTTCGACTATGTCTTCTCCCCTAGATTAACTTTGGGATGTTTTCTCTTCCACCACAATCCTCTCCCTTTCTCACAAAATGATCTTTTGTCCTCCCCAGCACCATTTCTCTTAAAAGCATATAGGATAGAACTGATAGATTGATGTCACACTGTGCAGATACGTAGGGCCTAGGATCTACTGTACAGTAGAACCTCGTTTATCTGACTCCATAAACCAGCTCTCCATAGTAACCGAACAACCAGCGCACAGGTCCAGAAGTTGGTGATCTCTCTTGAGGCTGATAGGCGGCGCTGCAGCTTCGCACTTTCCCATTCTCCGGATTATTCAAATTATTTATGACCTGATCTGGCCTCGGTCCCAATTAGATCAGCTAAACAGCGTTCTGCTGTGTGTGTGTGTGTGTGTGTGTGTGTGTATTATATATATTCTGCTGTCTGTCTCTGTCTCTGTGTGTATTCTGCTCCCATTCACGTCAATGGGAAAAATTCCCAGTAACTTTAAAAGCACAGGTTCAAACCCTTATTGAGTACGTGTGCGCACACATACTCAATGCACACGCACACATATTCAATAAGGGTTTGAGCCTGTGCTTTTTAAGTTACTGGGAATTTTTCCCATTGACATGAATGGGAGCAGAATTAAGCCCTATGATTTTTTCTGGTTTTAAGATAAAATTGGAAGTCGAGATGAACCCCTGACATGATGCTGTCTTTATGAAACCTGACACATGAAACAATCAAAGATACTGACTTACACCTTTTATGTATGTAAGTAACTCTTAAATGCTAAACATTGCTGGATGGTAATCCCACTTCCTGTTTTCATGGTGTGTTGCTTAATTAATGATGACTAAGGCTACGATTTAGTCATGGGTATTTTGTTACACTATTTTGAACCAGAATCTCTATACACTGACTGTGTCCCTCCTGGTTTCTGTTCTTCCTCCCCCTTATGTCACAGGCAGTAAACAAAAAATTCATGGCAAATGGCCTGTCCATGACTTGTACTATATATATACCCCTGACTAAATCTTGGACAGGGGAAGGGGACACCTTCATTCCTATATGTTAATCATTTGGACTTGACCAGAATGAAGAATCTGTATTGATGTCACATCAGCAAATAAAAAGAGGGATTTTGAACCAGAATTTCTATACACTGACTGTGTCCCTCCAGGTTTCTGTTCTTTTTCCCTTATTCACTCTACTTTTTTCTTTTCCTGTCTTCTTCCCTTAGTTTTTCAGCTTTCCCCTTAACATTAACTCCCTTCTGTTCTCCTCCACTCTCTTCATTTCCCCCTCCATTTGCCACTTTCCATCCTTCTCTACACATTCCCATCTGGGCTCACATTCTCCCAAGTCACTCCTTCCAACCCCACTATGGAGTGCCAGGAGGGGAGTGGGAATTGAAGATCGATTTGTTGCCCCTGGGGCAGCAGCATCTCCTCTTCTATTTCCCCCCTCCTTAGTCATCAACAAGGAAGCTCTTTCTTCCCCTCTTCCCTAGAGGAAAGACATAACTGATGAGGGAACAGGATCTTTAAGCAAGGAGACTTTCTGACCCTCCCTCCCATCAGGTGGTATTACTGTTACTGCTCTACCGACAGGATGGGCTGGGAACCACAGAAATTTCCCAGACGCACCAGTTCCTTCCACTTCAATTCTTACCTGCTGTGTCCTCATTCCTAGCCAGAGAAAGCTACTACTGCCTATCTACACACTGGTCCCAGTTTGTTATAGATTATGTTTGGAACTGGTTTAGCAGAATGGAGATGAACATGTTCAGGTTAGGCCTGAATAAAGACTGGGAGTGGTTGGGTCATTACAAAACCTAAACCTAATTTCCCCAATACTAATTTTCCCCTACTGTTACTCACACCTTCTTGTCAACTGTTGAAATGGGCCAATCTCATTACCACTTCAAAAATTATTTTTCCTCCCTTGGTATCCTGCTGTTAATTGAATTGTCTCGTTAGACGGACCTCTCACTTGGTAAGACAACTCACATCTTTTCATGTATTTATACCTGCTCCTATATTTTCCACTCCATGCATCTGATGAAGTGGGTTCTAGCCCACAAAAGCTTATGCCCAAATACATGTGTTAGTCTCTAAGGTGCCACAGGACTCTTTGTTGCTGTTTACTCTGAAACATGTTCAACAAGTGTTATTCCTTCAGCTGAATAACTATAAAGAACCTGAAAGATACAAGAATTAGCACATCCCTTTTGATTCGCACTCCATTGCACCCTTACGCTTCACCAAACAGAGGGGGTGTATGGGAAGGGGAATGAGATATACCAGCATAGGCCCTTTTAAATCGTATAACTGCATCTGCATTGGTGGTTTGAAGAAAGGCTTTCCCCAGCCATAATTCAGAGATGAATCAGATTTTCTCAGCCATAGTCAAACAGAACAGTTTGAACCAATATTAACACAGGATAAGATTAGGTTTTGTTTCAGCATGAGACTATACCCATATATGGCGTTGCTTGTTTTACACAGTAAGGCTACAGACTAAACCGGTTTCACTACAATATCACTCTTTCTACCAATCACCTTTCACCTTTTTTCCATGCTATTTTATACCCCATCCCCACGAGAGACTCAGGGCAAGGTCCAAATACCCAGGGTCCATCTTAAAACAAACATCACTGGCTTATGTCCATACCCAGAATTTCTGGGCTCCCTAAATACTTTCCCTGGGTTATCTTAACAAGCAATACTTCCCCTCCCACAAGCAGTGTGTGTGTGTATGAAACAAGGAAAACTTTTAGGGAGAAAAAGAAACAGGATCCGTTTGGGAAAACACAGCAGCACTATCTATATGAAGGAAACAAAAATACTGCCACACAGTAACTTGGGCAGTAGCCCATTACCTGAGATCAGTACCTGCTAGAGTGAACATCCTATACTAGACACATGTCCCTTTATCACATCACTTCTCTCTTCCCCATCTGCTAAACCCTACTTGCAGTTTGATGTCAATGAGTAGCATAGTCCCAGAGTTCTCAGGTGCATTCAAGCAAGCCTGTCTCCAGTCCTTTGGGAAGTGCTGCCTGTTCCTATCCTGAGGCTCCACCAGCTAAACTAGCTATGGGGAATTCAACTTAATTTAGAGGCTGGATAGGAGGGGGCCTCACCGGAGTTCATTCAGCTCTGTTGCCATCCTCCATGGCTTCAGCCCTGCACCCTGCTGAGGAGCCATCACTCAGTCCGTTTCCAAGAGCCATTCCTGCCTCATCTCCCATTGAAGAATCCACCTAATGGCACAGAATCGTTGGGGGGGGGGGGGGGGGAAGAGAGAAAGGAAAGACGTATAGGGGACGCATACAGGATCTTTCCACAGAGTTTTTTGCTACCAGAGATGCATTTCGTGCTACAAGATGTTGTCAGTTGGCGTGCGTATGTTTTCTCTCTGTGTGCTGTCCCAGCTCTGTGCAGCTATGCCTAGCAGATCATGACAGCACTACCCAGAAAGACCACAGACTCAGATCAGTGGCGAAGGCGCTTGGCCAGGTTTATAGTCGATGAATTGTGGTACTAGCTTGCTGGCTCCTTGTCTACAAATACGCTAACACATGTATGCTTCTCACAATGGTACCAGCTCAGTCAGCATCAGGGCTTTTTGCTGCCCCCTCGGCTGGAGAAAGGTACCCCTCCTCTGATTTTTTTTTATATATATTGATACAAACAAGTTATGTATTACATTTCTGATGTGGTTAACTACCAACCCTACACCTCGTACCTGATGGATCCAACAAAAACATCTCTATCCATCATCCTGTCCTCCCATCCTTGTCTTCCTCGGGGTTGGAGTGCTCTTGTACCATCTCCCAGAGTTGTGTTTATGCCATAACTTTATGTTGGGGTTTACTTGTTGTGACATACCCCCGGGGAACAACCTGGAACTGTGGGACCGCTGTGCTCCCTTAACTCTCCTCTCTGGGCTCTCCCTTACAATGTCATGCTAGTTACAAGCAGCAAACCCCACCCGGTGCTGTGATCTCTCAGTCAACAGCATGCAGAGACACATCCAGCTAATTGGCATGAATACTGTGTAAGCCACTTAGGAACTATACATAAGAGAGACACCAGCAAATACCCCCAGCTCCAAGCCTTGCACCCCAGAAATGTACCATCTTGCACTGCTCAAGACCTTCTTTTGAACAAATCAAGCTCATTAATTAGTTTGCCACTTCATCAAAGGATAGTGAACATGTCCAGCCTTTATAATCTCAGCAGATTCCCCAAACTCACTGGTAAGGATAAAACATTAAAATAAACAGGAGTACTTGTGGCACCTTAGAGACTAACAAATTTATTAGAGCGTAAGCTTTCGTGGACTACAGCCCTTCTTCGGATGCATCCGAAGAAGTGGGTTGTAGTCC